GAAAACGCCGTGATTGGTTCATTTAAAAGCTGGAGGGAAGTTTAAATCAATGCAAAGAAATTTTCAATTTGTCCTTACCAGCTGTTTTACTACGCAGAACAGCGTAAAAAAACCCTTGATTGTGATATAAAATGGCGGCTTTGGCCAGACTCTCTCCTTTAGGGTTTCTACATACAGGGCGATTTTTTTTTAACCTGAAACTTTTAAATATCTCGAAAAATAAACACTGCGAAAAAATGTACAGAATCAAAATTTAATTTTTAATATTTGAAGGTTTCAGGTTAAAAAAATCACCCTGTATTGTTACAGTCACTAGTACGAAGTGCCCTAGTTCTTGAAGTGAAATTTGATTTTGGGAAATTTAAATTTTTTCCTGATAACCCCTTGAACGAAAAAATATAGATAATATCAGTCACAGTGTAAGAAAAAAGAAAGCCACATAAGGTAATCGAATTGAAAAATATTTATTATGAAAAATTTTAGGTGACGTCATCAAAGCGTTGAATGATTAAATAAATTTTGATTAGTGTTTTACCATCCACACGATGTTCCTAACACTACAGAATTTGACGACAATCGTCCAGGAAGTAAAAACAGTCTAAAATTAGATAAATTTTAACGGTTTGTCACCATTATCACATACGGTTTTTCCAAAAATGACATCAACTTCATCCAAAATATGATTAGTCTATACTTGTGATTTATCATTTCATTCATATTTTCTTGAATTGCTTATACAAGATGACTCAGAAAAATTAATGAATGCGTGAATGTATGTTATTGATTTAATCAGGAACTGCAAAACCGAATGCTTTGAAATCTTGAAGTTGTTTTAAATTTGTCATAAGCATGGTAAATTTTTGATCAAAATGTGTTTGCTCATCAATCATTACGTCACCTCAAAATATTGCTGAATAAATCCCATCTTAAATGTGCAAAATATGACCAGTCTATACTTGCTATCATTGCATTCATATTTTTTAGAATTGCGTATACAGAGTGACTCAAATAAATTAATGAATCAAACGTTTTAAAGTTATTGTATGCATGGTAAATGTTTAATCAAAATATATTTGTTTATTCCCTCCAAAAAATTGATAACGTCATCTCAAAATTTTGCCGAATAAATTCTACAAAAAATATGATGAGTTTTTACTTGTGATTTATCATTGCATTCGTATTTTTTGGATTTGCTTAAACAGGTGGTTCAAAAAATTAATGAATGAGTCAATTTATTTTATTCATTAAATCAGGAATGGCTTACTTCATTTTCCCGGAAAATTGAAAACCCATATTTCCAGGTTTTTTTAATGAACTTAAAAACAGATCAAATGAAAAATTGGTGGAAGAGAATTTTTGAAAAATCATAAATCGTCGTGTTCACCGTCGCTTTTAAAAGGTGGATATGCAGTTTGGATTTTTTACAAAAATTTTGATGCCTAGGATAACACTCAAGGTAGATTCACAAACCACAAGTGTAGGAGTATATTATTTTAAGAAATTTAAAAAATCTTATACGTATACAATTCAAGAAGAAGATGACAGACAGACAGAAAAGGGACACCTCTTTTTCATATTCTGGCGTCATGAAACCTCGAGAAAATGTGAAAATTTACTTACGTTCCGAAAGTAAAAATTTTAAAAATATTCTATATAACGCAGCTAAAAAACATACACTAATCTATTTGAAAAGTAAAAATTGATGTCATATCTGAAAAACCAAACGAAATATAATATTCAGAGTATGGTCAATTAGTAGACTCATTAGTGGCCATTAGTGTTAATGATCAATTATTCTGAAATTTAAACTTCTGTATTTTCTTCAAATGACTGGACATTAAAGTGAAAGAAATAAAATGGGATACTCGGTATATTACTTTTCAATAGACGAACCTATAAGTAACGTTTCAGACAAAACAGTAACTCTTAAACTTATTATTATAGTATGATCACTAATGACGCATTCAGTAAGACAGATCAGAATTGCCACCATAAAATATTTCCTGTGAAAAAGTTACCAAAATTTAGGGACGAATATAAAAGGCAAAAATATAGGGTGAGCCACTAAGCGCGCGGTGCTCGATATCTCATTAATTATTAGAGGTACATCAAAAAGTCAAAGACCAAAGTTGTACGCTTCTTTAAGGATTATACTCGCAAATTATTTTTAATTTTTAACTATACAAAGTGTTCTGTTTTTGAAGTGTAACACATTTTTTTAATGAAACAACATTGGGTATATTTACACATTCTTATTACTCTCTTCTTAGTCTTTATAACTACAGCTTATTTTTGACATTCCGATCCAATTTCGCCACGTTATTCAAATTTTCTTAAAATTTTTTGACAATGGAAGGGTACACAAAAAATCGTAAAAAGGTTATTTTCAATCTTTTGTAGAAGGATAAATAAAAGTACTCGCTTTGTGGTATCAATTAAATCAAATTTTAATATTTAGAGTGTTTATAAAAAAAAATGTAAAACTTTACAATTTTAAAATATCGATGGGTCAGTTTTTTCAAACAGAACACCTGGTATTTTATTACTGTATCTTACTCTATTTTTTGTTCTCATTCTTCTAATATGTCGATGTGTCTCCTAATATAATATAGAAAATAATTAACAAAAAAGAAAGAGAACAAAAAATAGAATAAAATGCAGTAATAAAATATAGGGTTGTATTTGAAGAACTCATTTCACTAATACCGCAACAAAACGCGTACTCCACAAAATATTGTAACAGAGATGTTAAAAGTCTCTACTGGGATTTTTTTTGTGTACCCTTCCATTGCAAAAAATTAAAGAAAATTGCACGTCGCATCGGTATTTCAAATATAAACTGGGGTTGTAAAGCCTGAGAAGAGGCTAATCATATGTAAAACTGTATAGGATATTTCATTGAAAAAACCAAATTGTGTGTTATACCTTAAAAACAGATCACTCTATATACTTAAAAATTATTTTAGAGTATAGTCCTCAAAAAAATTTGGCTTTTGGGTTTTTCTTCTATTCCTAATAATTAATGAGATATCGAAAAACGCGCGCTTAGTGAATCACCCTATACATATCTATTTCGCTTGCCACACCTCGATTGTTCTATCACCCAAAAGTCGCTAAATCATGGACAGTGTCGGAAATTTAAAGTTTGGCAGCTGTAAATATTACTTTATTGTATCATACAGAGAATTCCAAGTCACTGTGGAAATAGAAAAATATTAATAAAGGGGTGGACAATGAAGATTTACTATCAAAAAACGTCAAAAGACATTATTACAGAGTGATCCACATAATTTTTTGCATTTTGCAAATTATAACACTCTGGGAGGCCTTGTGTACAACTCAGACCAGTGTCTTTTCGTGCTTCAAAAATAATCATGAGTGGTCAGAACATGTAGCAATAAACTCGGTAAACATAGTAAAATAATACATCATTTTCTATTTATTACAGCCACGTTTGACAACCCTGCCAAGTTTTGAAACCGTTAAAAAATGTAATAGATTCCAAAATTTTCCGTGCATATGGTATATTTAGAATTTGCATTATCTAGAAAAATTCATTATTTTATGTGCACGTACAAATGCAAATAATATTATTTAGTTTGTCGTGATAATTTATTCCATATTTTGTTATAATCCCACACGAGACAGATAGGAGCGATTTCAGTGCTAATTAAGAGTCTAAATATTAACACACACAGATAAACTTAGTCTGAATCCGTGTTAGAGAAAATATTTGCCAAAATAAGCTGCACCTTCGCAAAACCACACAGTTTGATACATTATTATTCCACAGCGAGTATGAGGAACTCCTATAAACAATGTTTGATCCTTGTTTGTTTAAATTAATTATGGAAATACTAAAATTGTTATAATAAAAATTGTTGAAAGTGGTACAACTTTCATTAGAAGTTGGTTGTTAAAATAGTTTTTTCTTTTTCATATATTTTTCCCTTAAACAACTCTTCACGATAAATATTACCTTGATAGGTACAAAGCCGTATTCCGGGTAGTCCTCATGCTACAAGTTATAACAAGTTTCAAACTCTGCCTTATTAAAGGACTCTGCTCGAGAACTTTTCTACAACTGGAATTCAGGAAACTAAGTTATCATTTCTTTAATATTTTCTCCACGATTTGAATTTTTATCAATAAAGAAGTTCAGTTGTACGAGAATTTCCATTCACATTACCATTTTAATTCATAAAACATAATGAACCAACAATTTTGGCATTCTCGTCACTAATGTCGTTATGCATGGCCCCAAATTCCCCGAGCACACTGCAAATGCATACTTTAATTAAAACGTTGTCAACATGTTCCCAACAAAGGCTTTGATAACATTTATTCTTCGTTGCGAACTCACTTGTCGACGCCCGAATACACGACATTGAATCGAATCTGCCTTTGTTTTCAGGACAGGCATATAATCAAAACGAATTTCGCCGTTGGACGCGATTATTAAATGAACAGTTCTTGAAAGTTAATTTATTTTATTGCGTTATTGTTTCTCGCGAGTCCTTAGCAGATGTTTGCGCGACCACTTTCCATTTAAGATAAATTTTCGATCTGGCGTAACGTGCCCACGAACACATACAGATAAGGGTTAGTGGGGTCGGAATTGCATGTCCTAAACGACAGGAAGCTGGCACAGATAAACAGCAGCCTCTGGTCGAAGTGATCGACGCAGGGACTTTAATATTTAAAAAAGAAAATTTCGTTAAGGTAATGGCGGAAACCGTCGAAAGCTCATGAATCGATTTGCATAAAGAGTTGAGGAGAACAATGAAGAAGTTGGGAGCAGGTCGATAGCTTATCTGTGGCTTTTTTATACAATTAGTTTGATTGTGAATAATAAGGTTTTGTGTTTGTCGATCGGCATTTTAATTGATTTCACCGGATTCGATTAAACGCGCTCGGATTTCTAAGCGATGCGGAGTGACTAGTCGTATTTTTTAGATGATATCGGATTATCCTTTCTCTTAATGAAGGCTTTGTTTCAGGAGAAGAGGTGCAGAAGAAAAAGGGATTTTTTAAGAGCTTCTGGAAACGGTCACGGCATTACTCTTTAGAGCAGCAATAAAGTGGTCTCTCCCTTTCCCCGTATAGAAACAAATTTACCTAATTAGTTTTTGTGTACATTTTATATAACAATAATTTAATAATTCTAACCGATTAGTATTACTATTTGTATCGCTAACAAGAAAAAGAGCACTTGATCCTAATATTACATAGTTGTAGATATTTTAACTAATTTATTACATTATTATGTGTAACAAAAACCAACTTTAGAGTTCTGATTGTAACGATTCGTACTTTCTTTGCATTTTCTTTTTTGTTGTATGTTTTGCTTTCAGATGTATAATTGTACATTAGTTTTATTTATAAATTTTATTTTTATCTGTGTGTTTTTGATTTAATAAAGTTTATTTAACGATAATTCTGTTTGAGTTGTGCCGTTATTTGTCATCAATAATGTAATAAAGTCAACATAACTTTTTTCTACAATCTATTTTTTATCATCAGTGCAAGGTCATCTCACAGATATAGAAAGTACACAATTTTATACATCTCATTGCCGACTTTCTACACCGTAAAAATAAGAAATCGTTTTAAATAAACCTGATTCAACTGTATCATTCTCTCAATTTATATTTCCCGACCCCGCCGCACAACCTGACTCGAGGCAATCGCAAAAAGCACCCATCTCCCCTATTATAGAAAGAATTACTACTCAGTGAACATCCTCGTACAAAAGCAGGTTGTTTGATGATTTTGTATAGATCAGGTTTGTTCGAGGTCTTTGAACTTGGTCCAGCGAACAGACTTCCATTGTAATCTCTATAGCAACAACGTCCTTAAGTCCGTTTTTTAAGTATTGTCTCCAGTTATATAACTCAAAAACGGCTACCGCAAAACGACACGCAATCACTTTATAATGACTGATTAACATCAACATCAACAATAAATCGCCATTTGTCAAAATAGAATGTCATCAACATCGCAGGATAAACCTCTTTAAGCCAGCAGACGTTTTCGTCACGTGGCTTTTACCTCTTGAAGGCCAATTACTTTTATGCAATCGTACGAAACCATCGGAGGTCGTCTGCTTCCGAAGACTTGGCCGATTTTTGTGGTAGGCAATGTATACAGGTCCCTCGACAACATAAACGTGGTTACAGATGGACACAAGATATGCTGATTAATACTGCCGACAGGTAAGTGGATTTATTACACATAAGTAGAGTGTACCGTCAGTCACTAAATTGCGAAAAATATACACTAATCAAATTAAGTGGAACCGGCAGATTAGGTACCTCTGTTATCTCTCTTACTAGACAAAAAATAGTTGAAGATTAGACGACTAACTTTTCTACTACGTACATACAAACAGAAAACTCTAAATACATTTTAGTAAATGCAATTAGAGCACGTTCTTTTCTCTGTGATTGATATACAGGGTCGCTAAAAAGTTTGGAAGCAGTTGAATATCGCGAGAACAGTTTGTTGAATAGTTTTCAAATTTGATGTCCTTAGGAATAGTCAAGTTCTATTTTCTGCATTTTTTTTTAAATAGCACTAGTAGTCAAATGTTCCGCTTGCTGCTCGGTGTCAGTATTCGTGTCTGATAGTAACACCAAAAAATATGTCGACAAATTTTAGCCGCTATACTGCTATTTTCCCGGACAAAACTAGACTGAGCTAACTGACAAAACTCAGTTTTAGTTTCTATTCGACTGAATTCTTATTCAAACGGAATTTTTGTTTCCGAATCCGATAAGTTTAGTACTTGGCTGAAAGTAAGCAATTCGGTAACTTTTATTATTGATGTCGAACCGTCTCTCACAGGTCCGAACCAGTGAACCGTAGATCAAATATTGTTGTCAATAAAGAGAATTCCCAGTATATGCTATTAGCATATGGATTGGGGTTAATATGGCCATCATATCCTGCAGGATATGCGTGAATGAAGGTAATTAAAAGCAACTGACGTAATTTATTTTTGCATGTTTCAGCTGTCTGCATATGTTTTCAAATACATTCTGCCGATAATTATGTTATATTAATTTTTAAAGTATACTTTCCGAAAACTAGATTGTAGAGCAGCATCATTTCTATTTTTTAAATATATATAAAATATAGGAGTAATACACAATATGTTAAAGAACTCAGTGACGCACACTTTAGATTCGAAAGAATTTACGTATTACCTACTCAAGAAAATACGTATCTATATACTATTCAGAATTAAGCAATTTTATTTGGCCAATAATTTTTAAAACCCATAAAAAGATAAAACTTAACACAAAGTGAGGCTTCCCATTTTGAATTTACGGCCACGATTTAAAGGTAATTTCAATTATCTTGTGCAAACTTCCTAATCGTTTATATTTGAGTAGTAGTAATAACACGAGGGAAAAACAAAAATACATCGGTTGAGTTAAAGCAGCTTCTATGGAGATGTTCAACACGTAAACACAAGTAAACTATCGAACAGATGGAGTTGTGAAAATGCGTAACGAACTAATATTATGGTCAGCAAATAAATGGGTTCGACCGTTTTCAGACAGCTCAAGCTATACTTACCTGTCCTTTCCGGCTTAGGTCGACTGGAATTTTCACTCGTAGTTGTGGCTTCGTGTCGTCATGCTTGTTTTCGATTTCATCTCGTTTTTCGTGTGTTTTGTTTTAATCGTTAATTAGATATTTTTTGTAAATCAGTCATTTTAAAGACCCTTATTTTGTTTTGGTATGGAAAACCAAGTCAAGTCTCCCGCAACAAATCTGGAGGAATCGGATACCGAGTCAGAATTTAGTTTCTCAGATAGTGGTGGATAATTTTTTTGTGTTCGAATTTTTGCGAAATCTATTAATACATAAGGTGGCTTGTCCAAATCATCCATTAATTTACCACAAAACTTATTGTTTTTACTGTCAATTGGAGTGCTTTTTTGCAAATTTAAAAATTTAAAACATGTTATTAAGTGACAAAAATATCTGCAATAACAATTTGACTTAAATGCCTTGAAATAAATGTACATTAATCTAATGGTTGCTTTGTATTATTTAGATTTTTACTCTTATCTCGGAGTCAGGAAGAAGTTCGAGAGACTCATAAGAATATATTTTCCACTCCTCCTTATGAGAAACATTTCGGATCATACTGTATAGTATTTCCAAACAAGGAATATAACGTGTGTTTATAAGTTCTTTTTTTTACGTTCAATCTTGATATTATAGATGTGGATACTTTATAGGCACATGAAGCGCATTCCATCTCTTCAGTAAACGGATTATAGTTCCCGCACCCGTCTAACCCTCGCGGTCTTTGTTGCAATTAGAGTGGAAACATTATGATAAAAATATCCTAAGTCATCACAGTCAGCCGTTTAGACTTTAAATAAAAGAATGTCACTTATACGTTCTGAAATGGGGACAGTCTACAAAAATACACCCTATATTTTTTGGATTAGGCAGAATTATTATCCTTGTTTAAAGGCATGAATGATGAAGGTACATTCACAATGAGATAATTTGTATGTAATCCGTAAAATTAGTACGTATAAGTAGAAGTTCGCTACAAGCTTTTGAATGATAACATTCACATTAGAAAAATAATTAATACGTACAATTAGTACGTAACGCGGAAGTTTGTAAACTCCAAACTTTTGCTGCGAAATTGCAAATTGAACGTCAAATTGTATGATATGAGTCTGCGCAGTAGGTATTTATGTTTAGTTGACAATGTTGACGGACAACTCTCATAACCTTATTTTGTGTTGTATTCCGTGAAAATACATGTTGTCTGTGACACAATGAATAAATTCTTGCTTTCTTTTCAATATTTTTAACAGTATTTTCACAAATTATTATTATTACCTAACCTCACACTCCACACTTACCGCGCTAATTTTAGCTACAAATTGGGCACATTGTGAATGCTAGAACCTGGTTCCCGCAGCGCTTTAATTTTGTGTTGAAATTATTTGTACAAATTATCTCATTGTGAATATAGCTTTAATGATTACTACTTTTACATCTACTGCGGCGTTTCATTTGTGTGATCTTGAACTCCGAGCAATTTTTACCTTACGCAACAGAAAGTTTGTGGAAATATAGTGCACTAACTGAGGACCCCGTCATAGAGGCGATTCCTAGACTGCACAGTTGGCCTTATGGAATTTAGTGAAAGGTGGCCAGATCCATCAAGTGAGTTCAGCCGGGTTTTCCCTCTCCCCCGGGATTTAGGGATACCGGCGCTAGTGGCACGGCTCCCAACCCGTACCATGCCCTTTCCGGTTCAACCCAACGTGGACTTTCCACAGGGGGACTCTTTCTGTTACCCACCCCGAAGTCCCGGTTTCGCGGCACTAGTTGATCGAATACAAATAGATAGTTCGACCCAACTCGATTCCGATTTGCAGAGATCCAGGCCAAACAGAAAGGAACACCGCCGATTGGGTAGCTTACCCTTGAAATGCTTTCCATCAACTGCGCCCCGAAGGAGCTCCCGTTAAGTCAGGTCAGTATTTAGATATAGTTCCGTTACCACAACTAAACTACTTAAACATCCCTGATTTTAAATAAATAACAAACCCTGTAGGGTTTTTGAAATTTTTCATTTTTTAATTGTAGATTTGAAATTTCAAGATAATGTCAGTCTTTTGGGGAGTTCACTTAAAACGTGATTTGTTTTCAGGGATGCGCAAGGTGCAGACATTAATTAGCAAGCGATAAAAAAAAACCTCTGGTTACTTATTGACCGCCTTTTGTCAGTAAAATATGCGTCTGGAGTTATATCGACGCAATATGTCAATAAAATGAAGTTATAACTACGTCATGTGATGCAAACTTCCATTTTTGATTTGAGAGGTATCGAATTCCAGTGATGCGATACAAAAAATTAATTTCCAAACCAAATCGAAACGACAGATGTGACAGATGACAATCAATCGGCACATATTAAGTTCCCAAAAAAATACAATCAACTGGTGACTAGAAAATTTGTCTTCGAAAGAATTTTTCTATTGTCGATTTGAAAATTTCAGTCGATTGGAGACAAAGTTTCAAAAATCCATGGCTGTTTTTGATCATGTTTTTTATAAATCTCTCGATAGTTTGTTATAAATAATAGTAATATACATTTAATAAATTTGCACTTACCGGCTTGAGAGGAAGTAACCAATCTTCACACCATCCTTCAGTTGTAGTCCAATTTCTTAAAAGACCACTGAGACCGGCAACATATGTAATAAAAGGAGGGGCTAAAATTGAGCCCTGGGGGACGCCACTTAAAACTGCAGCGGAGAGACTAAAAGAGTTTCCGACCTTAACTTTGAAAATGCGATCAGTGAGGAAAGATTCAATCCATTGGAGAAGAGGGGCTCTAATACCGTAATGTCAAAGCTTGAATAAAAGCCGCCGTTTGGGCACCCGGTC